TGGTACAAGTGATCGTTGGGAAGAGTTAGTGATTTGTATCCCTTATAGAATTTTAAAAGTAGTAAAACTCTTCAATAATTTATATAAAAATGCTATATAAACTTTTTTACTAAGTATAGTACTAGACAAAAGTTTTTCTGCACCCATATTTCTTTATAGAGAGATATTATGATCTTGAAACTTTCAGCAAAAAATTAGTATATACAAAGATTAGATTATATCTTTTTTTTGAAGATTTTTTAATTACTAGAAAAATGTTTAGATGAGAGCCAAATTTAAAAATTTTTTTTTTAAAAATAAAAAAATTAATTGAATTCAAAGAAAATTGGATGTTCTATAGAATGGGTAGGCAATATAAGAAATAACCTTCACTAATGATTAGTAATCATTAATTTTTTAATAGCAGAGTTGCGGAGTTTGTGGAGTTTGCTTACCTATTCTATAGAACATCTGAAAAATTAATATATTATCAAAGCTTAAAATTAAAAATTCTAAAAAAATTAGTATATTAAAATTTAATGATTTTTGTAGTAGTGATAAAAAATTTGGCTCAATTTGATAAGATAATTTTAAGAAATTGATTTTAAAATTTCAAATTTTATTTTTAAAAATTACAAAGTAAAAATTTTTTCAATTAAAATTATCTTAATATCTAGTAATCCAAATTTAATAATTTTGATATCATTTAAATCATCTTGATGAGATAATTTGAATAATATTAAAATTATCAAATTTGAATTGTTAAAACACAAGATATTCATGAAAAACATATTGTAATACAAAAAAAATCAGATATTAACAAATCAAATGTGATGAAAATAAAACTCAAAACTTTAAAATTTAATTTCTTAATAACAATCTCATTAAACTAAGCCAAATTTTTGTAACTACTACAAAAATCATTGAATTTAATATACAAATTTTTTTAAAAATTTTAACTTTAAGCCTTGATAATATATTAATTGTTCTTTGAATTCAATTAATTTGTTTATTTCTTTTGAATAAAAAATGTTTCAACTTTAGCTCTCATCTAAACTTTTTTCTAGTAATTAAAAATCTTCAAAACAAATACACAACTTAATCTATATAAGTACTAACTTTTTAGAAAATTTCAAGGTTATAACATCTCTCTATAAAAAAATATAGGTGTGAAAAAATTTTGTCAAGTACTGTAAATCTTTTTTTGACTTCTAATTAAAGTTGTAAAAAAATTTGTATAGTTTTAATAGTAGTAAAATTACTAAATTTGATCTAATAAATTATAAAATATCAATAATTTATATTTTACAATCATATAAAATTTCTTTGCAGATCTGCAAAGAAAATTTTATATAATTATAAATATAAATCATTGATATCTTATGATTTACCAGACCAAATTTAGTGATTTTACTACTATTAGAACTGTACAAACAACTTTAATTAGAAATTAAAAAAAGATTTACTTAGTAAAAAAAGTTTATATAGTACTCTTTGTATAAATTGTTGAAGATTCTACTACTATTAAAATTCTATAAGTAATGCCTGCTAATTTTTACTAGAAAATTTATATCTTTCAGCTGCAGACTACTTCTTAATATTTATACTTTATTTTTGATATTTGTATTTTTTATTAAACAAAATTTTTAAAAATAATAATTATTATTAAGTAAATCTTTTTAAAAATCTTAAGTAAAATTATTCTTTATATTTCTAATTTTAATAATAGCAAAATTATTAAAATTGAATTAGTAGTTCTTATTTAAAGTCAACTAATATTTGTTAAATTTAAATATAAATAACTTAGAAATTTCCAAACCAATTTTACTATAAATAGAATTAGAAAAGTCTAAAAAATAACTTTGCTTAAGACTACTAAAGAGGTTTACTTAATAACAATATTTGTTTCAAAGCATTTTTTGTTTAATAGAAATACAAATATCAAAAGTAGGGAAAAAAAATTAATTTCCTAAATAAAATTTGTATAAACAGGAAATTGATACTTATACTTCATATTTTTGATACTTGTACCCCTATTAAACAAAAAATACTTTAAAACAAATATTGTTACCGTTATTAAGCAAATTTCTTTAGTAGTTTTAAGCAAAGTTGTTTTTCGGATTTTTGATTCTAATTATAGTAAAGCATTAAAATTGGTTTAGAAATTCTTGAGCTATGTATTTATATTTAAATTTAACAAATATTAGTTGACTTTAAATAAGAACTACTAATCCAATTTTAATAATTTTGCTGCGATTAGAACCAGAAAAGTATAAGGAACAAGTTTACTAAAGAAATTTACTTAATAACAATATCTATTTTGGTGCATTTTATGTTTAATAGGAGTACAAATATCAAAAATGGGGTATAAATATTAATTCTCTATAAATATTATGTTAAATTATATGTAAAAATTCTAACTATATAAGTTAACATTGGGTTTGTAAATCTATATGAAAATTTAATATAACATTTATATAAGGCCATACAAACTTAATAAATCGGTTCTCATAACCCGGCCGGGTCAAATTTTTACAAAATTTTTAAAAAAAAAATTTAAGTATTTTTACTATCCGGGTGAGTTTTCCTAAAAAATTTATAAACAATTTTATATGTTTTTTATATATATAATTTTTTGAAAATAAAATTAAAAGCCAGGTTGCCTGGTCACTTTCAAAAATTTTATGTTATGAGAACCGATTTATTAAGTTTGTATGGCCTAACTTTATAGTGCTATATAAATTTTATAAAAATTGTATTACTGATGGATACAAAATCTAGATATTCAATCAGGTTCAACATTTTGTGTACAAACACCAAAATCGAATTGAACCACTTCGTTTCACTACGATCCTGGTATGTATAAGTGCGACATACCAAAATCCCAAAGTGCCTACAATCTCTTTTCATATATCCATTACGAAAAAATGAAATTGTTTTATTGCATTTACATCATATTGCTAAATTTTCAATCGCTTTGTATTTTAGTAAAAGCATACACTCCGAAAGCTCGCCATTTACATAGCGCCACATTAATAGGCAATAAATTTTACATATTAGGTGGCGATATTGGTTCTAACGATGTTAATGCGTTTTTGCCTTCAAATGATTTCTTTTATCTCGATGTCTCTGTCGCATTTAATACGACCAATATTCCATGGACAGATCTATCAAATGTCATTGGTACTCCTAAACACTCCCGTGCAGCAGTATCTGCTAGAAACCAAATCATTTTCTTATTTGGTGGAGGATTCGAGAATTCTAGTTATGGCATTCCTTTAGTTTACACGTTCGATACTACAAAAAGTGTATGGAATGCACCTGTTATACAAGGAACGCAACCTCCTAGACGCGAATCCATTCATTCAATTATCGATACTACAGGTAAAATGTATATATTCGGTGGGGACTATAGTCCTAATACGGGAAATTCGTCCTTGAGTTTTGATAATAGAATGGATATTTTGGATACTATTGCATTAACTTGGTCAAAAGGATCTCAATTCCAGGCTCCCTCCCCAAGAGATGCATATTCTGCCACTTTACTGCCAAATGGTGTGATTGTTTATCTAGGCGGACCTGGAAATAATCCTCAGAATTTGGCAGAGGTTTGATGTTTAGTTTGATTATTTCTTAATATTTTTTAAATTATTTAATAACTCATTGCTATATTTGTAAGATAAATTTGTACGATACAAAAAGTGATGCATGGGAAACAATGGTAAACCGTTATTAAAATTCACAAGTAGAAAATTTAATTTGCTAAAGTAATAGATACAAAAGATAGACCATTAGCAAATCAAAATTTTTACCGGATAAGACTTTTTTAGATTACCATCGGAGCCATTCCTGATGCACGTGCACATCATACGTCAGTGCTTGGTAAGGTTAAACATCTCTAAGATGAGTATATTCTTACTGTTTTATATTCAAGTTACTTAACTGATATGAATCTATTTTCAAATTCTATAAGATAAGCATTTCCTTATGAATTGGATTTTAATTATTAAACTGATTAAATTCAGATAAATTCTTAAAATTAATTGCGACTTTTTACCAAAGTTTATAATCAGAATTATGCACACAACATTGATTTGATATATGAGTGCTGCCAAAGGATACCCCGTAAATCTTATTAAGGCCACTCCAAATTAATTCGTCATTTAACATAACATAAAGTAGATCATAAGAATGGAGGAGAGCATAAAAAACACAAATTAAAAAATACAATAATTCTATTGGCTGCAAAAAATATAAAAATTATAAAAACTAATACTGCAATTTGATTGGTTAATGTGATGTGTTTTTTTTTATCTAAAATTTGAAAAATAGGGGATGTATGTTAAACGTAGAATTAAATTGGTCTGGTCTAAATAAGGTTTGCGGGTTTTTCCTTGGCGGCACTTATATGATAAACACATTCAACTAATTTGGTAAAGGCTACAATTATAAATTGCAACTGAGTTTGCAGTATAATTGCAATTAATATAATTCAATAAAAACTTTAATTAATCATCAAAATAGAATCAAATCAGTCAGCTAATTAAAACATTCTGGCGGATTGGCGGAATTGGACCTTGATTTAGATACTTTAAATTTGAGCCCTAAATTTACAAACAAAAGTATAAAAATGTCATTCTCTGATATATTAACTGATATCTGTTAATTTGCGATAATTATTATTATTATCTTTAAATGATTAATTTAGGGTCTAATTAAAAGGGCCCATTCCGCCGATCCGCCAGAATGAATATAACCAGTAAGAAATATAACACTAATCTACTAGCGCTAATAAACTTACATTTCGTGTATTCTTTAGGATTAAATAATGATAGACTTATCGTTTATGGAGGATATTATACTTCATCCCCATTAGTTCACGATCTTTCAGTATTAGATATACGAAGCAAACCATACCGATGGTTTACACCAAATATTTCTGGTACCGTTCCGCCTACACCAGCATATCATACTGCTAATGTGGTCAGAAAATATATAATCATTACTTATGGTATAATGATTATTTTTTTATTCATATTTGCATATTTTCGATCTATTATTAATGATTCGAATTGTAGGTTTTATAAATTCACAAGGATATGCAAATCCTAACATGTATATTCTTGATATTAGCGATGATTTTGAATATAAATGGGTTACATCATTTGATCCTAACCCATCACCTGTCCCCGGCTACAATGATCCGTCCAATTCGTCAAATATGGGTAATAGTATTAGTACTGGTACAATGGTTGGTGCTATTATTGGTGCATCACTAGGTAGTATTTTGTTTACAGTTTTTGTGATGATGATGATTTATTGGCGGTGTAAAAAACGAAAATATGCGCATGCAATACCAACTCATGGAAGTTATTGAAAACTCCTTCATTCATTCTAAATATTGATAGCATATTTTAAATAAATTTGTTGATAGCTTTATACTTAGGGCTAATTAAAGTGAAAAAAGATGCATTGTGTGACAGCAAAGTATTACGAAGCTGTGCGATAGCAAATAGCAGTAAAATTTGAAGCTTATCCTGAGATACATCTTCATACTTCAGTAAGTTGAGAATCCCGGACGAGGTAAATATGTGCCACTTAGGCGGGTCGCACCTGGGTCCTCTTTGCTGAATCTATTTTAGGTTTTTGTTTAAATGGCCAAGTGACTCTTTATTAGTACAGGTATAAAAAGTTTACTGTGTAGATTAGCCTCTATAAGGGTATTCTTTACCGATTAAATAATAAAGAGAGGATTGCTGAAACAAAAAAGAAAAAACTAGGATACCAGAACTTGAATAAAAAAATAAAAGAAGAGTGATCAAATAATGAAAAGAAATTGGTTTAAAGCAATTAGAAGTTATATGAATAACAATATTATTAAAGCAATATATATCATTTAGTACAAAAATAACAAGACAGAAATCAGTTTTTTAAATATAAAAAAATAAAATAGAATTTAATAAAAAATAAATATGAGTTATATGAATTTAAAGTTATATATATTGATTAAAACAAATATATATATATTTAATAAATTAAATTTGTTTTTTGATCAAGCAATTATACAAATAATATTTTAATAATATAATATATTAAACAAAATAAACTTTATATTTTAATTAATTTAATTAGACAGTATTATTTATTACTTGATTATTTTTTATCAGAAGTGTACCCTCTCTCCACTCTTAATATATAAAAAATCAGGTTCTTATATATAATTTTAACTTTTGTTTACCCCCTCCCTC